AATTACGTAACCGTTTGCGCCGACGCATCATATGTACTAACTCGGATGTCACGTTCGCCCAGTGTACCATTGGTCGAGCTTCCTGAACGGTGATTGGATGACATGAAACTGTGCCTCGTCGTGCATGGATTGCGGTCACGGAAGTCTGGATCACCACAGTATTATTTCCTGTTGTAACGGGGTGTCAATGTGTGAATCCCAAATAGATAGTCAAAAAGGATCCCCAAATGTAAACAAAACTATTGATCCAGAAAAATTCTACGGTACCGCATTTATAAACAAGCAAAATATGTAAAAACCTCAAAAATGCTCTCAGAATAGTTTGAGAGCATGATCCAAGTGTTTCTATGAGCGTATTTCAAAGTATCTGAAAGGAAAATATAAGTCTGGACTGGAATAGCACTCTCAGAGTCACGCTGCACTCGAACGAGTTCAAAGTGAGCGGTCAGGTCACGACTAACAAAATTTGGGTCCGGGAGAGCTGCAAATAACAAAGTCAAATAATGGGGCTGATGTGTAAATATACGAGTGAGATAGAGCATCAGAGTATGTGTGTGGAGGGGGCGAATAGTGTTGAACGAATGAAACGTCAAAATTATGAAATGGATTTGAGGGTGTTTTGGGTTTGGGTTTTATCGGAAGGATTCTCGCAGATCGATAAATACAAATGTACATCTAGACTGCGTTTCTATAGCGTATGTGGTAGTGTATGGATGAATCCGATTTCGTCACAATGAATGAAACTGGAGTCAGACTAAAGTGCAACGGACATATTTGTAAATCACTTTACGAGCAATGCCAGGAGCGCCACCTACAATCAGTAAACCGAAAAGACCGTGTGTGAACACAAACACAGTAAGAAATACTACTCAATAAACCACAACATCGCACGTAGTGAAAAAATCTAAGAGACTTCAATTACATGAGCACATGACAGATGATGGGCTGAATTATCAGGCACCGTTTACGTCAAAGTTCTGTTCTACCTCAATTCTATTAGCATATTAACACTTGAATAATTGAAAAGGCTTTTTATTGAAAAAGTCAACAATTTCAATTGTAATCTACTCAAAACCAACCAAAATCCTCACTGAAAATTTCCTGAAGCCTTAAATCTGCGATTGAACGCATTTTTTTTGTCAGATTTGTGAAAAGCAGAGTGGTTGTTTTGATGAATAAAGAATGGACATCACTGCACCAGCTTCCGACAACAGAACGATTTGTTCCTTATTCCCAAACATTTTATTTCCTTGCAATGCGTTGTTGACGATGCTTTGGTACGCAGTAACAGAGGCGTGTTTTCTAATCAACTTCACTGTTCACAGGGCATTGAATCTTTGCAGAACTACCTAAAAAACAGAGGAATTCATCTCGGCCTAAGCTTGAACTATGGAACTGTCACATGTCGGAACTACCCGGGAAGTTTGCAACATCTCGAACAAGATGCCCACCGATTGGCCAATTGGGGTGTGGAATACATCAAATTGGACAGTTGCTTCTCTCCCCCCGACCAGTTGGAACTAGGTTCGGAGATGTTCGCGAATTATCTGAAGGACACGCACCGACCAGTGGTGTTTGGTTGTACCTATCCGGCTTATATAAACTGGACATCTGATTACAATTTGCTCGACTGGGACAAATTGGTTCAAGTGTGCGACTCATGGCGCTGGTCACCTCCTACGGATGGAAGCTGGAGAGCGGTTCGAGATACACTGAATTTGTACAAAAGACATGTATATCAATTACAACTTGCAGCGTACGAAAAGCACTGGAATGATTTCGACGCCCTGGCACTAGGCAACTACGGTCTGTCGGATGACCAGAAACGAGTACAGATGGGAATGTGGTGTATGCATGGATCACCGCTCATGATCTCTGCCGATTTCGACACGTTAGATCCGGTCAGCAAGGAATTGTTACGGAATAAAAATTTGATTGCGATCAATCAAGATGATTTAAACTATCCTAGTGTGCCCGTAACTAGAACTGGTGAAAATATTCAAGTGAGTGGATCGATGTGTATTGTAACTTCGTTTGTGTTGTCCTATTGCCATACCATCAACACCAAACTTACATGAAACCTGACAGCTCTTGTTTATGATTCAACTCAAGACCTGTCTCCCCAAGTCTGAAGAAGTCAAAATCAAACTTTTATTATGGACGGTTTAACAAAGCTAAAGCTTATCATGCCCCATAGAATTTTTACAGAATGTTTTGAATAACTTCACAAAGAGAAAATAACAATGATAATAATGTGCGTGATCACTCACGGATGTTGAAATTTTAAGTATCCCATTGCTTTATCAAGTTTCGATTTAAATAATTCAACTATAGGAGCACACACTACATCAGATGGATGAGAATTCCATGCGCCGCACACTCTGACTGCAAACGAATGATGCTGGTAATCA